TTATTTGCCGAAAAATTTTTTGGGTAAAATTTTGAAAAATAAAGTATTTTCAAACCCATTCTGGCATATTTGCAAAAAAAATAAGTTTTGAAATATTAAAAACAGCTAAAGAGATTAAAAAAAAATCATTAAAAATACATTTATTTTGCAAAAGTTCATAATTCTAAAAACATACATAGTTGTCCATCCCTGCATTAGCAGATTTTCATGTACAAAAGAATGAAACAAGCGACAACACAACCACCTTCAATGAACGCTCAAACGAGACTCAATGTGTTTTTAATATACAGTGTCTCTCATAATTATTCGAATTTAGGTAAACTATAAAAAGAAACCAAATTTAATAATATATTTTGTGTGCAAAATAAATAAATTAATTTGTTATATTGTCTAGATAGTCCTTATGTTTGATATCACGCTTTTTAAAACTTGAAAAATTTGCATTGACTTAAATTAATTGTGCTTTTTTAAAAAAAGTCCATGAAATTGCCTCACAAAAGTATACGAATTTTTCCTGTATTTCATATTTGATCATATTATACGCAACACAAATTTTAGAATCAAATGGTTTTTATGCGTAATATTGTTTTAAGGGGTTACTATCCACGGAAAGGATATATTTTTGGCCCATTTGGTCCACCATTTTGGGGAATTTGTACCCTGTTTTCATGTAATATCATTAAAATGGCGATTTTTGGCCATAATTGCAAATTTTTCTCCTTTTTTCCAGTGATACAATAAAATTTGATGTTGGGACTTAAAAGTCCCCTTGGGGTATCTAAAAATAATATTTTTTGTTACAAGAATCTGTATTTAAACGTTCCAAGATAAATTATTCGGATCATTTTTCTGTCGCTAATTCAATATATTGGAACTTAAGTCCATTTTTATAATACTAGGATCAACTATTTTCCGGGAAAGTTTTCTGGTATATATTCTTTTAGATATCAGCTTTTATACATTTTAAGTTTTCAATGTGTTGTGGAAGTGTACAACTCCAAAACATGCCTCGAAGAAGCACCATTCAAAATAGTAAAATCATTATTTTTATATACCAATGGCCTCCATGCTGCATGGCACGATATCATTCATTCATCAAAAATGTTGATATGTGTTTAAATATTATTTACTATGATGAAATTAAAACCAAAATTTAGGACTTACAGTGTTATTGTAACGGGCAACATAAGCGTGAAAGTTACGAGTAGTAAAAACTGAAATCTACTATATAGGATGACGTTTTGTTAAGGCATGTTTTGGCGTTGTATACCGCTATAATATATTGAAAATTTAAAATACATTAGTGCCAATATGTACATCAATATACACTAGACAACTTTGTCGGAAAATATCGTCCCTAGAGGTACGAAAAGGGACTTATGATCCAGATAATTCAATTAGAAACTGAAAAACGATACCAAAAATACATCTTGGAACTTTTAAGTACAGATCCTTATAACAAAAAATATTATTTTTAGATACCCTATGGGTTCTATTGAATTCCAATATTAAATTTTGGTTTTATCTCTGGAAAAAGGGTGAAAACATTACAAATATAGCCAAAAATCGCCATTTTAATGATATTACATGAAAAGAGGGTACAAATCCCCCAAAATTGTGGGCCAAATGGGCCAAAAATATATCCATGCGGTTGATAGTAACCCCTTAAAACAATATTAAGCATAAAACCATGCGATTCTAAAATTTTTGTATCGTATAATATGATCAAATATGAAATACAGGAAAAATTCGCATACTTTTGTGAAGTAGTTTCATGGACTATTTTTAAAAAAAGCACAACTAACTAATTTAAGTAAATGTAAAGTTTTCAAGTTTTAAGGGGCGTGATATCAAAACTAAGGACTATCTAGACAATATAACAAATTAATTTATTTATTTTCCGCACAAAATATATTATTAAATTTGGTTTCTTTTCATAGTTTACCTAAATTCGAATACTTATGAGAGACACTGTATGTGAGTATGTTGTTGTAAATTTAGTAACGATCGAAAAGCACGCGTGCATAGAAAATGCTTTGCTCTGATGTAGACACATAATATTATTATTATCAATTATATAATTTTGAATAAATCAATTAAAATAGAAACTATAGCACTTTGTATATAATGCCAAAAAAAGTTGCTTAGGTTTCGAACAATACTGTATGTTTCGGTGGTTTTTTCCAATGATTGACAATGTTACTGAGAGTAACAGCAACAGAAGAAGAAGAAATCTACTAATGAAGTAGATTTTGTTTTGTATGGGGAATCTAGTAAAAATCAACTGGACTTGCTCGAAATTTTATAAGTACTAGATTTCGCTTTAGTACTAGTATTTCGCTTTAGTACTATATTACTACTATATTACTACTATTAAACGCCTTAGTTTACCGAAACAAAAGCGTTAACATGGATATTTTGTATTCTATAATAAAAACAGTTTTAAAATTGGTTTGTGAGTTTGATAATCAATTCAAATTTAAGTTTAGAACAATTTTAAAAATAATTTGTTCAAAATTTATGTGATAATATATGTATGTATTTTCAAATTTATTTTATATGGTAACAAAAGTATTTTGTCAAAATGTTTTTAATTATTTTGTTTATTTTTTAAATATTTCGGAAAAAATTATATTTCATAGCAGTGTACACTAAACAGGTATATGCAATCGAACAGCTAAAAATTCTTTTGTTTTCTTATTTTATACCTTTTCTGTCAAAATTTGTTTTTGTTTATTTGAAATGATTGTAACAAAATAAAATTTGAATAAAAAAATAAAAAAAGTAAAGTTTGTAAAAAAATAATATTGTTTGCACAAAATTCAACCATCTTCCGCATTGCGCCCTTTGTTAGGTCCGCTGTCTTTAGCCAAACTTTATCCGGTTAGAACAGAACTTTAATGGCACAAATCAGGTGATTCCAGATATCAACTATCCCCCGTATTGCGCACGTTGCCGAGGCCGCTGTCGTTAGACAAGCTTTGGTAGCCACTAAGATACAAATTTAGTGACACAAATCAGGTTATTCCAGATATCAAAAATCTTACTTTTTTGGGTCCATTGCCAGGTCCTCTGTAACATAGGATCTATGTATACAGACAGCTTAATATAAGTACATATATCCCTTACAATTCCATTTAAAATCACTCCATATTTTTTGAAATAAAATTAAGATTTTTTTAAAGACAAACATCAAAAAATAATTTTGCATATTTATTTTGACATTGAGCTCATACAAGTACAAAAATAAAATACATGTTGTTTTTGTATTGTTGTAGTGATGCATATACCTATTTAGTGTACATATGTAGATATTTAACTTTTTTATTTACATTGGTATCGTGTTTTTTACACTTCGCGAATATGTGGTGAAAATAAATATAAAAAATGTGCAAAATACATATTTTGTACATATTTTGTTACACATAGATGTACATGAAAAATGTTATACACTCAAACCTCGTTTTATGCGAATTTGAATTAGTGCGGTTTCAAAATTCTAAAATTTTTCTTTGCAAAAATGATTTTGAGGAAAATTTTGGTCCACATACATCCAAAAAAAGTGATCAACAAAGTACAGCTACTGATTTCTTACCAATTCCCGTTCGGATATATAAAGTATTGTTCAAATCCTTTGTACATGAAGAAATATTAAGTTTTATTTTTAAGAAATGTTGTATATTTTCTTCATTATTTGGAATTGGTATTATTTTGTTGTCTGTTTCCTTTATTTTTCTTTATTTTTTATGGTTTCAGTAAAGAATTAAATTTTTTTGATTTTTTATATGCGATTTTGTTAGACTTTTAAGGGAATAATTTGAAAATGTGCGCTTTTTTATCTATTTTGTATGGAGCTAGTATATCGTTTTGTGCGAATTCGAATTATGCGCTTTTTTGCGAAACGAATTAATCGTATAAAACGAGGTTTGAGTGCATTCGAATTTATGCATTTAATTTCACGTTCCATAATGCTAGTGCGGCCAATTTTACCACAAATGTTCACAAAGATGTCAAAGTTGTTCGTGCAATATTTGAGGGTTCAAGATCCAATAGTTACAGAGTCCACCCAATTGTATTTGTATTGCTAGTAACACTACTCATTTGTATACTAATATACAAGATTAGAAATACAAATAAATGATGTCTGATAATTGACCATACTCAACATCAACAAAAGTACATACATTTTTGTATTAATGTAATTGTAATTACATTTAATTACAATTAATGTAATTGTAATTACATACATTTAATTACAATTAATGTAATTGTAATTACATACATTTAATTACAATTAATGTAATTGTAATTACATACATATTATACATAATAAATACATTGGGTAAATGCCAAACAATTTTTCCTCATACATAATTAATGTTTATACAAGCAAAATTACAAAAATTAATTCATTCTCAATATAATAAATACAACACGTTCTCAATTTCATAAAAAAACAATTTCCTCTTTACAAGCTACTCCTCATTAAAGCAAAAACAACTATTCCAGATCTATTTCTATTTTATTTTCCTCCTCATTGAAAACAAAAATAACTATTGCCTTCCCATTTCCACACTACTCATGTGAATGGGTTTTGCATATAACATAAAAATAACTTTTTTTCTTTCAATTGAAAGAAATTTTGGAACGACTATCACTACAAAAAACCTATCGTTGAAATTTCATTTCGTTACTAACAGAGGACTTTTATATTAAAAAACATAAAATTTTACATAAAAGGTTTATAGAATACAAAAATTTAAAAAAATTCATGATAAGAACGTTAACAGAACGAACGTTTAAGTTGTAGAATAAGGGTATAAGTATTGCACTAATGTTTGTCTATCCAGTGATATATAAGACATCATGCTATTAATTAAAATTTTAATATAACCAATTAGTCCATTAGTTATTGCAAAAAATTATTTTAATGTAAACAAAACAGTGAACCTCTTTAAGAGATTCATTTTAATAATACTTTATTTTTTATGTCCTTTAAGATAACTCGCGGTTAACTCAAAAAAGTAAGGAGCACAAGAAAGATGAAGACTTCGATGATTCTAGCGCAATTGAAAAAGCAGATATTAAAGAAAAAAGTGATGATATATTAAATGATGCCAAAAAGGAAATCAACTTTGAAAATGTTTCCGGATCCGAAACAACAAATAATTTCACAAAACGACACTTTTCTGATATAGATGAAGATGAAGGCGATGAAATTGATGATAATAAAAAGAAAAAAAGGAAAGATCTGGAAATGTCTAAGGACACAAAACAAAGTAATGTGCGTACTCCAAACAGGGTGGAAAAGAACCTAAAACAGGCGACTAATTCTAAAAATTCAATTTCTACTTCTTCTAACAAAAGTGTGTTTTTATGCGATAAAGATGAAGTTAAAAACAAATTCCATGATACGGATTTAGAAGATGATGATTCTAAAAGTGATCCGCTCTGCAATGGAGGATTAAAAGTACCCCCATTAAAAATTGTCATTCCCCAACAAAGTTGTACTATTGATACCGATGGAAGTGGTTTACGGACGGGAAAAATTAATACTTCAAGAAATGCTGCATTGCCATATGTTGTAAGTTCTAATAGTGATTCAAATGAGCGAGATTTATCCATTTCAAATACAAGTCCTAGAGATAGTCCCATCAAAGTCAATTTATCTTGTGGAGATGATAAAAATTGCAAGCTTTTGAATGAAGAAAAAAATTTGCGAGTCTTAAGGAGTGCTCATAGAATAGGATTAACAACTCATGATAGGAATTCGAATAATTCTTCACCACAAATTCCAAGCAATTCACCCTCTCCAGCTTCATCTACAAATATCGATTTAGTTGAAGGAAAAATTGCATTTTCAAATTCTATTAACAGTCCAACACATCAAAGTACATCATTTGAAGCCGATAATATTCTGAACCTTCCAAGTCCATCGACCTCGTCTACTTCATCTTCAAAAGAGACAATGGGTAACATTGCAGAACTTCATCCTAGAAAAAGGAAAATTAGAGCAAAGAACGATGAGGTAAAATCATCCAACACTGGAAATAACGTAAATAATGATCCAATTTTATGTACTGATTCTCATCCTCACGATATACCTTTCACAAATTGTTTTCAAATGTACATGGCAATAAGAAAGCAAATAGAAAGAAAATGGAAAAACATTTTTTCTGTTAAGCCAAGACCTCCACAAGGATTTAATGAATATCTTATTAACAAACAAAAATATCTTTTATATCAACGACAAAATAAAAATATCACAGAAATACCAAACTCAATCTCATTTCAAATGAGAGATATATTTTTGATTCAGCAAAAAGAGAGATTTGATCTATATCAACGTCATACTGTAGAAAAGGAAAAACTTTGTCTTAATGTGGAACAAGAAATTATAAGAATTCATTCAAAAGCAGCTAGAAGTATGTCCTATCAGTCGTTACCTTTTTCAGTATGTACATACATTAAAGACGAAGAAGTTTATAATATGCTTACACCCGAACTAGATGATAAAGAGAAAAATGCCAGATGCAGATTTAATGGAAGATTGTTACTAAGTTGGCTTCAAGATGTTGACGATAAATGGGAAAAAATTAAGGTAAATGTTTATATTTAAAATAATTTTATGAACATTTTCTATTACTAAAGCCCCTTTTACATTATATCACAAGTAATGGTTAGATGGTTGCTCACGTGTGCATCTTGGTCCCTTTGTGATACCTGCAAGTATATGAAAAGGAAAAGAAGAAAAGGGAAGGGGAAGTTGTAGTAAGAAACAATAGTAAACAGTCATTGAAAGAGGAATTTAAGTAGTTAATAGTAGAGACGGATAGATGAAGATCAAGGAAGACGGAGATTAAAACATAAGAGTAGAGTCTTGGACTCGAAAAAGCTACTAATCAGTGCTGTTGGAGTTTGTTTCATCAAACCAACCGCAAAGCCTGATGAAGGCGTTTAGGTTATTCTAATCCCAGATAACTCTGAGGTGTATTCCAGAAATCGATGTCTCAGATATCGGAGTCGAATGTTCCCAGGACAGTGACAAAGAAGATGTTAAAGTGAATCCTCTTCTTCCTCATCTTGAAAGCTTTTACAGTAGTCGTTGTAAGGTAGTCGAAGTCTCATAGCGTGGTTACCAAATTTACAGTTTCCTGTGATGACAGCTATCATTTTGCTAAGTTGGGATTGGCTATGCCTCAGAAAATAGTCCGTGCGCTCCTTATCAAGCTTTGGCCATATATTCTTTGTTTGCCGACTTGTATTCGGCTCATTTCTCCATCTTGCTTGATAGAGTTCATAGAACATGTTATCTATGAGTCTTTTGCATACTCCTATCGAAGTACTACAGAATTGGTCTATATCCGACTCGGGCAACTGTGAACCCGCTTTAGCGAGCTCATCAGCGATACAATTGTCTGTAGCGTCCCAATACGAGTACGATGTTTGAATGTCTCGCCATTCTTTTTAAGGATATCTGGCATTCCTGGACTAGTCGTGATGTGTAGTTTACACCTGTCAGGGACTTGATTGCGGCTTGACTGTCGGTAAATATTAGGATATCTCTATTCGATATCTTATGATACTAGAGCCAGTTTGTAGTTCTTTTTATGCCTGATATTTCGGCCTGGATTGGATTACAGTCATTACCGATTCTAAAAGTAATTCTGATTCCAAATTCTGGAATTAAAATACTTCCTCCTACTCCTTCTCGTTTTGAGCCATCTGTGTACACGGATAGGCTTCGTGGAGAGCGATCTCCCTCCAGTCCTGTATTTTCCGAGATGAAGTTTCTCTGGAGAAAGGGCTTGGGGACGCAGTAGTCAATAATTATCGGTAGATATCCTATCCTATCGATAATACTAGCATGTCCACGACCATTCGTTTAATGCGTTAAGTATGAATGCTGTTGGAAGTGCTAGTTTTCGAAGTTGATCCCAGTGATCCGGGTATCAGGATCGACATTCTCCTTAGAACCTTGCCAAGGAGTTTGCAATTTGTGTTTATATTAGTGCTTTCCACCAAAAGGTAGCTCCATCGAACAGAATTGGCTTGATAGCCGCATCAAAAATCCATTTCACTAATTCGGGTTTTATCCCCCATTTTGCTCCCAAAGCTTTCTTGCATATGTACATTGCCGTTATAGCTACGGTGACCATATTTTTTCAGCAAAATACAGAACATGAGAAAAAAATACACTAACCACCATTTTCTAAATCAGGTTATTTTTAACCGTCAAAACTTCAATTGGCAATAATGTTTTAATATCAATATCAAATTCTTTATTTCAATAACCTAGCCTATATAGGCCATAATCGGTTATAAATTTCTACTTATGATTTTTAAAGATTAAAGATTTTTTTAAAGATTATTTTAAAGATTATTATATTGATTGTTAGAAAAATAAACATTTACAGTCTTATGCAAAAAAAGCCTTATTATGACCTTAAAGTGTACATTAGTTAACAACGACTTTTAGCTTAATAATCCATTATTAAAAAAGTATATGCAAAAACAGTATTTTAACTAAAATACATTTTAATGTTTTTTTAGATTTGATGCTGGCAATACCATTATTTTATTCTGTCAATATTTTCATAATGTTGTATATATATGAACGATTATTAGTTCATTTGGTATTCGTGTCTAATATTATTTTTTTATGCTTTTATATAAAACTAGCTATACCCAGTGTGCTTCGCTACCCTCATCGTAATGAAATAAAATAAATATTATTGTAAATGTATATATATCTGCAATATAAAAAAGTCCCCTATTTAAATTTATGTTTATATATTCAATATTTTAGAAAACTCAAAAAGTACCAATGAAGTACGAAAAAGTAACAAAAGACCTCTTTTATTTAATTTCATATTCCTAAGTTCAATATTATAGAAAATTAAAAAAGTACCAGTTGAAGAACGAAAAATTACCAAAGGGTCCCCTTTTATAGATTCTCATTAACTCCGGGCTCCACATGGTTAATTTCATGTTATAAACAACACAAAAAGTACCTTTTGAAGAACGAAAAATTACCAAAAATTCCCCTTTTATATGTTCTCACTTACTCCGGGCTCTACGTACTTAATTTCATGTTTCTAGGTTCAATATTATAGAAAATTCAAGAAGTACCTTTTGAAGAACGAAAAAGTGCCGAAGAGTCCCCTTTTATAGGTTATCACTTAATCTTGGCTGTACTTGCTTAATTTCATGTTTCTAGGTTCAATATTATAGAAAATTCAAAAAGTACCTTTTGAAGAACGAAAAAGTACCAAAAAGTCCCCTTTTATAGGTCCTCACTTAATTCGGGCTCTACATGTTTAATTTCATGTTTCTAGGTTCAATATTATAGAAAATTCAAAAAGTACCTTTTGAAGAACAAAAAAGTACCCAAAAGTCCCCTTTTATAGTTTCTCACTTAATCCAGGCTCTACATGCATACTTTCATGTTTCTATTTTCAATATTATAAAAAATTCATAAAGTACCTTTTGAAGAACGAAAAAGTACCAAAAAGTCCCCTTTTATAGATTCTCATTTACTACGGGCTCTAAATGCTTATTTTCATGTTTCTAGGTTCAATTTAATAGAAAACTCAAAAAGTACCAGTCGAAGGACAAAAAAGTACCAAAAAGTCCCCTTTTATAGATTCTCATTTACTAAGGGCTCTACATGCTTAATTTCATGTTTCTAGGTTAAATTTTATAGAAAACTCAAAAAGTACCAGTCGAAAGACGAAAAAGTACCAAATAGTCCCCTTTTATAGATTCTCATTTAATAAGGGCTCTACATGCTTAATTTTATGTTTCTAGGTTAAATTTTATAGAAAACTCAAAAAGTACCAGTCGAAGGACGAAAAAGTACCAAAAAGTCCCCTTTTATAGATTCTCATTAACTAAGGCCTCCGCATGCTTAATTTCATGTTTCTAGGTTAAATTTTATAGAAAACTCAAAAAATACCAGTCGAAAGACGAAAAAGTACCAAAAAGTCACCTTTTATAGATTCTCATTTACTAAGGGCTCTACATGCTTAATTTCATGTTTCTAGGTTAAATTTTATAGAAAACTCAAAAAGTACCAGTCGAAGGACGAAAAAGTACCAAAAAGTCCCCTTTTATAGATTCTCATTTACCAAGGGCTCTACATGCTTAATTTCATGTTTCTAGGTTAAATTTTATAGAAAACTCAAAAAGTACCAGTCGAAGGACGAAAAAGTACCAAAAAGTCCCCTATTATAGATTCTCATTTACTCTGGGCACTACATGCTTAATTTCATGTTTCTAGGTTAAATTTTATAGAAAACTCAAAAAGTACCAGTCGAAGGACGAAAAAGTACCAAAAAGTCCCCTATTATAGATTCTCATTTACTCTGGGCTCTACATGCTTAAATTCATGTTTCTAGGTTAAATTTTATAGAAAACTCAAAAAGTACCAGTCGAAAGACGAAAAAGTTCCAAAAAGTCCCCTTTTATAGATTCTCATTTACTCCGGGCTCTACATGCTTAATTTCATGTTTCTAGGTTAAATTTTATAGAAAACTCAAAAAGTATCAGTCGAAAGACGAAAAAGTACCAAAAAGTCCCCTTTTATAGATTCTCATTTACTAAGGGCTCTACATGCTTAATTTCATGTTTGTAGGTTAAATTTTATAGAAAACTCAAAAAGTACCAGTCGAAGGACGAAAAAGTACCAAAAAGTCCCCTTTTATAGATTCTCATTTACTAAGGGCTCTACATGCTTAATTTCATGTTTCAAGGTTAAATTTTATAGAAAACTCAAAAAGTACCAGTCGAAAGACGATTCTCATTTTATAGATTCTCATTTACTAAGGGCTCTACATGCTTAATTTTATGTTTCTAGGTTAAATTTTATAGAAAACTCAAAAAGTACCAGTCGAAGGACGAAAAAGTACCAAAAAGTCCGCTTTTATAGATTCTCATTAACTAAGGCCTCCGCATGCTTAATTTCATGTTTCTAGGTTAAATTTTATAGAAAACTCAAAAAGTACCAGTTGAAGGACGAAAAAGTACCAAAAAGTCCCCTTTTATAGATTCTCATTTACTCCGGGCTCTACATGCTTAATTTCATGTTTCTAGGTTCAATATTATAGAAAATTCAAAAAGTACCTTTTGAAGAACGAAAAAGTACCAAAAAGTCCCATTTTATAGATTCTCATTTACTCCGAGCTCTACATGCTTAATTTCATGTTTCTAGCTTTAATTTTAAAGAAAACTCAAAAAAGTACCTGTGTAGAACGAAAAAGTAGCGAAAAGTCCCTTTATTATTAATTTCATGTTTCTATTTCAATATCATAGAAAACTCAAAAAGGACCAGTTGGAGAATGAAAAGTACCAAAAAATATCACTTGATAGCGGGGTTCCAAATAACACCCCATTAGGATATTTAGTGTTTCTAAATTTAAAAATTTTATCTAAATTGGATCATTGTGGTTGAATAAAATCAAATTTCCCGTTTTTACCCCTTTTGGTACTTTTTTCATCCCCATTAACGAAATAAAAATTCTATTCCAAAAAGTTGCAACATCGTAGTGGGAGCCTGTTATTATGTATTCATATGTATAAGTTAATAAACCAAAAACAATG